GCATCCAAGTTTGTTTTGTGTGTGGTGTGTTTGGGTGTGTTTTTGAGAAGGATTCATTGACTATACGATGAATAGTTTCAAACATAAAATCGAATGCAATTTCTTGCCAACCACGAGAATTCCCCATGCAAATCTTTATGTACGTGGTGTTTAAATTCATATTTAATATCATTTTTCCCATGTCGAAAGTTATGCGCTGAAACTTCGCCTTTTCACTAATATGTAAGAGCTCTTTTCCTTTCTGGCCGTGTGCTAGTGAATTTGACACATGTTCAAGATTTATTATGGGTATAGGGTTAGATTACGTGATATGGCAAAGGGCCAATTCCTTGCCATCCTGTATCGGTAATGTCATATCTCAATAGGCACCAATCGCTCATACAGTGGTTCTTCTCCTGTAGGGTGCACGTTGGTTTCAACATGAATCAATGATGTGGGAACACCAAATTCTTCAACTGTTGCATAATCATCATTGGTAGATGTGATTCTTGCAAGGGACAACGGTTCTTCGCGTCCCAGATCAACAGCATCTATTGGTTCGTTGTATATATTCTCGTCCATATTTTTTACTGTGAGAAAAGAAACATATGTTTATTTTAGATTAATTTTATTTGGAATAATAAAATAAACAAGTCCACGACAGCAACAACAAAAAATAAAGAGCAACAACAGCGCTGTCAGCAATTATATACTATAACGACAACAATGACAACATCAGCATCTGCAAATCTGGGCTTAGCCACACGATCGATAAGATAAGCAAACTGACAAGAGAAAAGTAGGAAAAACTTTCAATATATATATATATAATTATACCAATCTTTCAGTACTGGTAATTCTGGAAAGACAGTGATGCTACGCAGAGAAACTTTGAATTTTTTAAAAAAATAAACTTCATTATTTATCACATTGATGACTCAGCTGTGTACCTTTTGAAGCTTTTATCCACATCCTGAAACCTACGGCAACAGCGACGACTAATCCCACGAGAATGCATGCGCAGGTTATCGCAGCGATTATCTCTGATTTTAAAGCCGTTGGAGTAGTTTCATCTAAACCTGGAAACAGATAAAGCTAACTCTGTATTGAGAAAGAAATTAGGTATTTAACAAAACAGACATGTTTCCTGTGCCAAGTTGTATTCTCCAAGTATACTATACAGTAGGTATACATCCTTTGCATCAAACAGTCATGAGTTGATAATGAGGAAATTCAGCGGAAGTCCCGTTTTGTGAGCCTTGGAGCGAAAAACTTTAAGTTGGCGAAATGAAAAATATATATATATAGAATTTCGGAAAGGGGGAGGGCGGTAAATTTTCGTTTTTCTCCGTTCTGGATCTATTAATACGTATTTCTTTAAGGACATAAAAGCTCAAATGCAAGTTACATTTTTATTCACCTCCCTTGCGCATCCTCGAGCTGCAAGCCGAAATATTGGCTAATTAAAGATGGAACATTTGGTATCAGAAAAGGTCTTTGCTTCTTTAATCAACCTGTACAATTACGATCAAAAGCCATCGAGTCTTTA